GGAAATGGCAGTACACTTGTAGGCTGTTTGGGATGAATAACCCTAAGGAGGTAGCAATGTGACAAATAGATCCACTGCTAAGTGGCGACTCTATAAACAGCAGCCATTGCTAATTAACTCCCACATCATACACACACACAACCATAGAAGAGCTGTGTTATCTGTTGGTCCATGCGAAGGGGTTATAAGAGGGACAAAGTTTAGAGTTTAGTACAGTTGTGAGACTGCAGCCAGCAGGGAATGGCATGAGCGTGGAAACCGAAGGATCTCCACTGTTAGTAGCTGTTAGCGGGAATGACTAGTGAAGACGCTGTAGGCTGGAAAATACTTAGTTTGTGCTGTAGCGATTTGTAAAGTGTGGAGATTAATGATGTCACTATAATAAATGTAGTCATGAGTCATGTGTTGAAGTGGTCAATAAATGGAGTCACCAGTCCAAGTGCCATCTATATATAGTCTCTCAAAATCTTGACAGTAGTAATGTAATTGGGTAGAGCCATAAAAGTCTTTCTGTCTGACAGTTTTTTTACCCATTGTTCTCGAATATTTGTCTGTCACCATATGAACTAAGGGCACAAAAAATTACCATTAGTGATATTTTTGTGTGAAATGCCTGGAAGATTTTGCAGGTCCCCCAGAGGATCATGAGCTGCACATTGGAAATGGTAAAGTCTTTTGGTTCTCCCATCAGGGAGGTTGAGTTTTTTTTAATATATTCTAGGTATTGGGAAGTTATATATGTTGACTGATTATGTTATTTGAGAGTTTAGACAGTTTGTATGTGGGCTTATCGCCAGTTCACCGTTGGTCTAATAGGGTTATGCGATTTGTGTATTTTATTATAGGAGCTTTGGGGTTCAAGTTGATGTTTTTCAAAGAATCGTGTTTATTAGTGATGGTGGTACAGCTGTAGAATTTGTGTCTCATAGTTTTTTAATTTGTCAGTAGGATCAAGTGTAATTTTGGAAAACTGGTTATCTTGAATGAAATTACATATTTTATTGTAGTCATGATTATATAGAATGAAAGTATTATTTTTATTGGCTTTTGTGACACTAGCATTATATTCTCTTACGTTTTTGTAGTATTATTGAGGATGTTTCCTTCATGTTCTGCGAAGTGTTTTTATGCTACTTGTCTTTCTTTTTTTGATTTGTTTCATTCTGGTCCGTCACACTAACAATATTACAGATGATAAAACAATTCCTTCCAGTATGACATAGCGCAGTGTATTGATCAATCAATACGAAGACACACACACATCCAGCATTACAATGCATGCAGCCACAAGAGAGGGACACATCACAAGACGCAGTATACACAAAATATAGGCAGAACGACTCCCATAGCTGAAGAATGATATAATACGCGAGTTTGAAATACGACGTATAAGATGATAATTCTTAACAAATTTTAATATATAAATTTTATTATAGTACATGACGAATATACATTTTAAACCATTTTATAAACGGCACATGATGGCGAGCAGTGCAATAGTTTAACACCTGAGAATGGCACAATGATGCCGAAACATGTAGTGAAGTGACAAGTGAGATTGTGTGCACTAGAAGACAGTCAATACATACACATCGTGGACGGGAATGAGTGCAACAGGACGCTAAAATACAACATCACACATACAGTATTGAAACGAGCCAGTCTGCAATTTCTGCAGTTACTACACTGCTGATACAAATAATCTAATTGTAATGTAGAACACTGAAATGCATATGGTGATCTGTTTGATTGAAGTAAGCTGTTAAAAACATAGATTAAGAATGTTTGAGAAGAGGGTGATAGGAGAAAAGTGTAACCTAAGAGAAAGCAAGTAGCAGGAGGATAAAGAAAATTCCATGATCAACCTCTTAATTTGGACTTCTTGCTTAGTACTGTTAGGTTGATAATATCTAAGACAGTGAGATGGGTAAGGCCATGTATTACACATAGGGAAATGCATTTAAAGTTTGGCCAGAAAACTCCAGGGAATGGGATCTCTTTGGACACCTAGGCATAAACTGCACAGTAATATCATATTACTTCAAATACAAGACACACATTTTTCATATTTTTCTTGTTGAAAAATTGAGGTGCATCTTAAATTCAAGGAATTATTCACCAGTTTGTAAACTTTCTGGTAAATAATAAAGATGGAAAGGAATGTGCATGTACTGAAAACTTGAAATTTCCATTTAATTCTGGTATGTTTTACATTACTTTTTACTTTAAATGTGTTCTAAGTACAGGGCTACTATAAATGATTCATTCGTTTTTAAAACGCCATATTTTCCAAAGCATTACACGTACAAATGTGATTGATATATAAAAAGAACCGTAAACTCACCAAGTTTTCTTCACACTCTACAAATGTTCTATGTGTGCCACTTGGGTCACACAACACACGTCCAGGTGGTAGTCGAGCTCGTTCCACACATTTTGTAGCATCATCCTGTCAATGGTCATCACTGCAGCATCAGTGCATTCCCTCAGCTCTACTAGTGTTCTTGGCAGTGGGTGTATGTAAACACGATCCTTAATGTACCCCCAAAGGAAGAAGTCACAAGGCGTTAGATCAGGTGATCTGGGGGGCCAAGTGAACAGAGCTACGTCATCCTCACCAACACGCCCAATCCAGCAATGCCAAAGTTCATTGTTTAGGTAGCGACGAACATTGATGTTCCAGTGAGGGGTGCCCTGTCTTGTTGGAAGACAAAATCCCCGGAATCAGCAGCCAGTTGTGGAAACAACCACAACTGCAACATATCTACGTAAGATGTACCAGTCACAGTTTTCTCGCAAAAGAAAAACGGTCCATACAGCTTTGTCTGTGACATTGCACAGAAAACGTTCAGCTTTGGTGAATCTCTTTCAAGTGCTACAATTGCACGAGGATTTTCAGTGCCCCACAGTCTCACACAGTCACGATTAACCTTCCTGGATAAATGGAATGTTGCTTCATCGCTGAATATCAACTTGGCGGCGAAATCTTCATCCTCCAATGCTTCCTGCATTGTGACGCAAAATTCCAGGCGCCGGCCATAATCTTCCGGTTTTAATTGTTGCAGGGGCTGCAGACGGTACGGTTTGAAATGTAACCGTCATCGTAAAATCTTCCATACAGTTTGCTGCGGCAGTCCAAGTTCGCGGCTTGCTTGGACCGTTGATTTTTGTGGACTACGCACAAAACTTTCCTCACTCTCTCCACTGTTTCATCTGGCACATTTGGTTGACCGGTGTTTTCCGTTTACACAGACAACCAGTGTCCTTAAATTGCCGATACCACCGCAAAATGCTTTGTTTACATGGCGGTTCTTTTCCGTACTCTCTTTTGAATGCGCGTTGCACTGCTATAACAGACGAACATCTTGCATATTCCAACAAACAAAAACTCTTTTCTTGCTTTGTCACCATTTTATAAAGGCACGGAACTTGTGCTGCCAACTGGTGCACACAATACAAACTTGGTGAGTTATATATCGATCAAAATTTTACTTATAATACTTTGGAAAATTACCATTTTAAAAACGAATGAATGATTTATAGTAGCCCTGTATTTTATTTAATTGATGTGTTCTAAATAAACTTATTGAAATAAGTACAACTTTCTAACTTTTTTCTTAACGCTTTGTGGACCACGCACCCTTTAAAAGGTTTTTCGCTTTTAAACATGGAGGACTGTTCGCGTGTTAACAGGCTTTTAGAACACGATAAGTTGCAACACACTATACATCCCTCTGGCCCCACCTACATTGCATGCAACCGCCTGGAAACTCTTGAGTGTTTAGTTAGCAGTCAGTAACTTGACCTCACTGTTTACTTAACTGACTATAAAAGAAAATGCTTTGCCTTCTTCAAGCTGTGTGTATCAGCCAGTAGCTAGTGGGGAGAATGGATCAAGGACAGATTCTCCTCCGATGACCTAGCTGACCTGCCTTGTGAGACACGTAGTAATGGATTGTCATTCAGACAGCGACAGTGACGGGGGACAACAAAGAATTGTGGCCACAGACAGTAAAAGTGACAGTAGCTCCGACAATAATGCGGGTAATAACATTGCACGTAGTAACATTGCGGGGACAGCAAAAAATCTAAAAAAATCTAAACCCTGATTCAAAATTGAAACACAAAGCATTTCTGATGAATGTGGCAAAGGCCTGGGCAACAGTCCAGATGGTTGCAGCAGAACCAGGGTCACACAAAGACTTAGTATGACCGGGCCCATCAACTCCCACCCCACAAAGGCCTCATGGGCCCCCCAGGGCGATTCTTGAGTGATATGCGGAAAAATACCCTCGTGAAAATTGTGAAGAGTGAACATTCCAAGGGGAAGAATACTTCTAGGCAATGCCGTGTTTGCACAGTTCACAAAAAAAGGAGTATGTCTACATTTGCAAATTCTGTGTAATGCCACTTCACAAAAGCGAAAGTTTCCAGAAATATCACACCCTTAAGCACTTCTAGGAGCATTGGTAAGTGTTCTCCAAAAATTTTAGTTCAAAAAATTAATTAGGAGATTTTATATTAATTTTTAAAGTGAACAGTGCACAAGTTAGGGTAGTATGTTTAAAAATTTCGGTCCCAAGGGCGATTTAAATATTTAAATCACCAGTCCGCAAAGTGTTAAAACCCTAATTTCAAAATTAGAGGCATCTTATGTTTGAAGTAATGTATTAATATGGAGTAGAGCAGTAAAATGTAAAAAATATATTCCAGATTAAATTAAAGAGGTTGTAGCCTGAAGGTTTACATTTGTGAACATGGTAATGGACCTTTGGGATCCATAAAAGGCAGGGAATTTTGTGACCATGTGAGTGACTGTTTCTCACATGCTCTGCTCCAATGACTTGGTTTTATAATCTTGCATTAAACAGAAAATTCTAGCATAACCATTCTTTATTGGAAGATTGTGCTTTTCCTGCATTCCTGTCATGCAGTGGGAGTTAAACAAGTCTCGTTATAGATTCATCTCTACACCAAAACATGAAAAACGTTTATTGCAGTGAGTTGTGTCAGAGGTGTTACACAGAAGAATAGTAAGAGCATATCCAAACCCGAATTGAAACCTATTGATGTAGCAGATGTGTTTGGTAACAGCCAGATTAAGAGAACCGCATCTAAGAAGGATGAGGTAAAGAAGGTAAGAAAAATGGTTACTGTAGTATATAAGTGCACATGGCATTATATTATACATGTTGTAACACAGAGTCTAAGCAAATTGTAAAAGCCTTAAGAGGGTATGTAAGATTTATTTTTAGAGCGAGGTCACTGTGAAATCTGTTGTTTGTTGCTATATACAAAGGCCAGATACAGAAGTTCTGTGGAGAGACTGTCTTTACATCTCACTCAAGCTGTTACACTTCCCCCACAAGGATACATCCCAATAATTGTTCTCCATTCATCGAGCCAGTTTGTTTAAGGAAATATTGTAGTGATAATCACATGACAGCATTCACTAATAATGTGCATTTTGAGTTAGTTGACATAAGCCAGATGGAGCTGGAGGGCATTACAACAATAGGAAGTAGAGGAGAAGGCTCGAGCACCATCATCCCAAACTTTCATGGACTTCTTTCCTTGATCTGTGTATAGAAACAAGAAATTAATTGTTCACAGTACTGATTTTCAATTTTTGTTTGCATTGTACATGTTGCATAAAATGATTATACAAAGGATGTTTTTATCTGTATGTCTATGATTCACAAGTACCGAATGAATTTCAGTAAAATTTGGGAGCTGTGTATCTGCATTAAATTTTGTTGGGTGAATTCTGTTTTCTAAAAAGATTGCAATGGGCTGGGCATGTACAGAGAATGGATAAGGAGCGTATCCCAAAGAAAATTTTATATAGTACAACAGTCAGCAGGAGACATGCTGAGAAACTAAGAACTAGATGGATTGATGCAGTGCAAGAAGATGTGAAGAAGTGAATGGGTGTAAGGAACTGGAAGAGAGCAGCGCAGGATAGAGAGGAATGGAGGGGCTTGATAAGGGAGGCCAAGACCCAACATCAGGCTGTTGCGCCATAGAAGAAGAAGAAGAAGAAGAAGAATAATAATTCTGTTTTGATCCACATATTTTTCAGTATTACCTCAGTTTACATTAAATCCAAATTAGACTTACCAGCTGTTGTGTTTCTGTACATTATCCATCATCCTGTTTTTGTTTAGAACACACGTTTCAGAGACTAGATTCTATTTCCATCTTCAGGTGGAACCTACTCAGTTGGGTCCAATCGATAGAGCTAGTCCTTATCTCCAGACACCAGCACTGAGTCTTATGTTAGGAGCAACAGTCAGTTGGTCAGTCTATCTTGGAATAAAGCACCCATCTGGGGCTTATGACCACATTTTTATTACTGTCAGACAGTTATGGGTTTGTTGATATGGTGTACTCTCTCTGACGGGACGACGGGTCTGTTGTTTACAATTGCTGCAAGCCCTCACCAGTGTAGTCTTTGGTCTGAGTCTTGTGGACTCGTGACCAAATTTGTCTGTCTCAGATTCAAGACCTCCCTTTTCGTTGCTTCCTATGACTCAAAGGACTATGGTTGAGGTATTTGACCCTGCCTCCACACCGGGTATACACCAGCATTAACACAAGATAGGATATATAAACCAAGCACAGCATAAACCATCTGCAAGAGTTAAGGCAAACATTAAAATCATTAAAAAAAAACTCCACACACATGAGGCCTAGCACCAATGGCCATGCACTATTTCATGACTATTGGTGTTACAGTCACAGTACTATCAGACTAGAAGTCATCATGAATGAGACAAATTCTCTGTATGGTACCATCATAAAGACACAATTTTCAAACATAATCTACACTGGACAAAGTTGTAGTTTTCTGACTTCTGCGATAATGAGAGTCCACATGGGAGAGATGCCCAAGCTGTGTTGACAGATTCCTTGTATATCCTGCAGGTGGTGTTTGGTTCAATCTAAAAATCCTTCACTTCTTTACAGTATAGTTTGTGGTCTTCTTCATACACATGATGGGCTAATTTTGATTTTTCAAGGAGACCTTGGGTCAGATTATATTTTTGCTTCTTAACATGTACTTCTAAAGGTCTGCTTGTTTCGCCAATATAACATCTGCCACAATGACATGAGATATTGTACTCACATTGCTTCAGCTGCTGTGCATACCTAACATCCATTTTTCATCAGTGTCCCTCAGAGTGTATGGTTAGTTTTGAAAATGTACATGACATTGAAGTGGTTTTCAGTGCATCTCAATTTCTCGGAAATATCCTTGATATATGGGATAAGGACCATGCCCAAGTATATTGTACCTGAAGAAGGATGGTTGCTTCTCAATGGCTTCATTACGGACTCATCAACTTGTGTGTATTCATTAAGCATCAGACTGTGTCATATATTCTCAATTTCCATGTTGAAATCCTTCTGATCCTAACATATGACCATGGCTCGACTGATCAGACTATGAATGACTTCCCCTTTCACATGATGTGGGTGATTGGACTTGAAGACCTACCAGATTTCTTAAAATCAGCTCATTGTACAGTTGGCCATTCGATACATAAACTGTTAAGTCATTAAAGTGGCCCTTCCAGAGCTCAGGCAGTTAGTCATCATCTTCCCACCTTCCTCCCTCATGTTCATTTCCAGGTTAGGTCATGTGCCATTTGTGGCACTGGGCTGGCTTTCTCTAAATACTTCAGTTTCCCATGCCAATTTACATTCCTCCAGCTGCTCCATATTCTTTAGTCATCCTATCATCAACACTGCGTAGTCTTGATACTGTCAGCATTGTTAAGTAAGCAACTTAAAACAAATAATATTTTCATGCTTCAGAATGTTAACGATTTTCTTGGTCACCTCTTCTCCCTCTCAGCTTATAATGAAAGGCTTGTTTTATAATTCTTGCAATTTGCATTCTTCCAGAGTGTTTCTACTCACTGTTTCCTAATAATCTGACATTTTTCGTATAATTGTTCATGATGTCATCATTTGTTACCATCTTAAGATGGGTACTTTTTATATTATTAACATTTAACAGAATGCAAATAAAGGTGTTATATCTCTGTCATGTGTGTCTGCACCTTGACGTACTGTATATGACACATTTTTGAGTGTATGTTATAATCAAATAGTAACATAAGTCATTGCATCACTAGAAGGTTACTGGATTCTATTTTCATTGTATGAGTACAATGTCTAACTGGCTTCTCTTTAGAGGCTTCTTGCCCCACAAGTAGGTCACCACCTTTTCTCTCTATAACTGTCCAACCCTTACGTTGGGCTCCACCTTTTCTCTCCATAACCGTTCTTACCTCACGTTCACTCCCCCCCTTGTTGGTTGGTTAGTCACGCGTTTTTCGTCGCTCCTCTCCTTTCTTCTTCTTCTTCTTCTTCTTCTTCTTCTTCTTCTTCTTAGGTTGGGCGCCAGTAAGCTCAGGTGGTGTCGGCTTACAATAGTCGGAGGTTTATTTTGGAAAGGGGGTAAAGGTGATAGTCAACTAGTTCAGCTGTGAGTAGAGCTGGGATCCTTCTCAGGGCGTTTGCTAGGGCCTCGCTTAGGACGGGGAGGGAAGCAGTTGGTTCAATGCTACTTTGCACTTAAACACTGTGACCATTTATTGAGATCATCACTTCCCTTCACCTGATGACACGCAGTCAATACAAAGGATGCTTATATATAGGTCCTTATGTAGCACAGTCCTGGTATAACGGACGTTATTATCACAATTTACACTTTAGCACTCTGAATTTGGGGTTCTACAGAACAGCGAAAAACACAGATTTTGTTTCCGAATTATTTACAAGTAGCAGGCACTTGGCGACAGTTTGGCAACTAACTTGTGACTCTTTGTCTGAAAACACTGATGTCCCCTGGACGTCAGTTCCTCTGCTAAGTCACTCCCCCTTAATTCCACTGATTGGGTAATTTTGAGAACGGGTTTACATCATTTTTGACAGTACACTGACAGATAACCTGCTTGGCATGGGTTTCAAAACCGCCTACTTTTAAGTTACGATATGCAGGACCTGTCAGTGATCGAATTCTCAAAGTTTGCCGCCATGCTACTCGCAAACAAAATTTCTCAGAAAAAGCCACAGGGGGTGCTTCCTGTGTAACATCAAGATTTGGAATAAATCCATTCCTGAAAACAAGAATGTGACTATGTCCCACTGGCTTTGGTATTACTTGTTACCTGCACTTAATTTTTTTGTTACTGATTATTCTAATTATACTTAAATTAGTGATTGACAGTGGAGCGGTTACAAATGGGAAGCAAAATTTCCATGTCTGAGATCTTGTTGAACATGCAGGATTTTGTTCTATAAAATTGCCTGCTCAGAGTAGGATATACTGTAAAGGACGTTTTAGACAAAATATAAGCTGTGTAATAGTAGTTTGTGCAGTAGATGAGAATGAAGGCTCTACTACATATAATATATTTCTTATTCTGAATAATCATACTAATTTCAAGATTCTGTTTGCCTGCAGGTCATGAAAAATGTTACACCTCAGCTGGAGAATCTGCATTCAGATTCAGAATTTGTAGGAACATTACAAGAGCTGGATGAACGGAAGAACTTTTGTAAAAAGGAAAATGAGATAACGCCAGTGAAAGAAAAGCAGAAACATGCACTGCATACATCAGAATTCAGTAAAAGTGCTCTTGATTCTTATAAAATACCCAGAAATGCTATGAAAGAGACACCAAATAAAACTGACATAAAATTACTAGCTCAGAAGGAGGAGAGCAGAGATAAAGAAACTACCAGCCTCATATCACAGCCTGAAACTTCTCCAGATTTACCCAAGAAAATTAAAGGAAATGAATATCTGAGTACAGAAAATGGAACTCAACAAGAGAAAGCTGTAAGGTCACCAGCTTCTGTGAAAAGATGTGACATTAGTTCTGATGAAGATGTGTATGAGAGAAAGAGGCAACATGCTATGCAATACCAGAGATATTTACAACGAGAGGGCCCAAAAAATCCAGGGGGGAAGGAGGTGCCACAGGTACTAGAGTGAAGTTCATACTATGATTTGCAGCTGTTGTAGACACTAAATTAATGTAGTATTTGGAAACCCTGCTTTATGTTTGGGAAATACAGAGTGTCCATAAATATCCTAAATATAAGTAAATAAAATAAAATATTAGACATGCAAAGTGAAAGCTGGTATTAAGCTGGTAACATTTTGACATAATATGGTAACTTTCCAAATTTTTTTCTTGCTTTGGCACCATTTGTGCATGTATGGAGCAGCTGTATCCTGTTCTCCCTCATTTGAGAGAAGATACAAGTATATCTTTGCTGCAGAAAGTGGCATGATTTCTGTGGTTTACAGGGTTTAAACTATGCATCTGATTTCCACATAAGTTTGTAATCAGGCATACCGAAACCAAGCAGCACTGATTAAGAGAACTGTAGTACATTGGGATGAGCATCTTGTGAAAAGGGACCTGTTGACACACGTCTTGTCTTCTTCAATATGGGAAAGAATTTCCAAAGTAAACTATATTCTGACCCCGATATGTGCTGGATACCCTCTGGACCAACTGCAGTTTGTAAGCATGGAATTTCAGTCTCATATATAAAACATCATACACAATTCAGCATGGCAGGATTAATTTCAAATATTCTTGGGAAGAGACTTAAGAAGCCTCTTGTGAGATGTTTCACCAGTCTTCTGGGAGGCCTGGAGGCACATTCTGTTGCAAGACGCACCCTATCTTTTTCAGACTCCTGTCCCAACACATTACATGTATGTAAATCAATGCTGCTTTGTTCAGGTACACCTGAGTATACTTAACATCAAACATGAATGTATTGTTTAAACTCTGCCAGATACATAATTGAATTCACTTTCTGCTGCACACAGTACATCTTCTCTTCAACTAAGGCAGAATGGGTTGAAATGGAGCTGCTCTGCATATACAGGGTGTTCCACGACTTTAGGGCATAACTAGGGTGACCAACTTTCGGTCATGAATTTAAGGGAGATTTAGTCACGACAAATTTTGCACATTTTTTCCGGTGTGGCGTCAGTCCAGCAAACGTTCATGGAATGGATAATATTAAACAAAACAATTAATTTACATTATATATAATATGCAGGTCACAATATAGAATAAATTTTACAAATTTGCATGTTTCTTAGTCCTAACCTATATGTATTTGTTCACTGATGCTGCAGAACTAAGCATTTTTTTATCTTGTGCAAATTTAAAAAACTCTTTACAACTATAATCGTAATTAATTGCTACCATTAGCTCTGACTTAATTAGTTCTAAGCTGCTTTGATTTCTCTGATCAGTCCATTTATTGCTCATCAGTGAAAAAATCCTTTCAGTATGGGCATTTGAGCCTGGGATGCTTAAAACAAAGCCTAAGATCTTAATAAGGTTTGGCACATCAATTTGTTTCTTAAATCAATGAAAATACTGACCCAACTTTGTTCTATATGTTCTGTTTTTACCACATTCGGAACACTTTTTGCACTAGAAAACTCTTCCTACAGGCTGTCCTCATTTACAAAATCAAGATTAAATTCTTTTACAATAGTTTGAAAATGTCTGAAAGAAAGTTCAGTGTTTAAATTTAATAGCAAAAGACAATGGACAGGATTTGTATTTGATAACTAAAAATTCTTAGAAATGTACTTGTGCAAGCAACAGTAGAAATTAACAAAATCATCTCTAGCACATTTCTGCAGGGGTGGATTCAAACAGTTTAAAATTTTTTCCGTGGCAGTGCCAAAAAACCTGTCCTCTAACATCTGCTGAATTTTACTGCCTACACATTACATTACACTGTAGCATGCCATGATGCTAAGATTAGCAGTTTCAAGAATTTTGGCAGATTGAACAAGTACTGCACCAATGTTGAAAAAAAAATTAAGATATGCCTCAATAACACACTCCTTTTCTGGATCTTTATCACTGAAATGTTTTTTTAATATTTTTGGACAGTGATTCACACTTTTGAAATAACTCTTAATAGGTAACCAGTTTTGTATTAATCTGTAGACAGCTGATGCTAGGGTAAGCCAACAAGTGGGGACATGACGAACAATCTCCAACTCAGCATCAACAAGATCAAAGAATGACTTCAACTCTTCTCTTCTTTTTGCTGATACTGAAAAGTGTCCATATATTTTTAAGACGATCATTTCAATATCCACATCTAATCCATCAGATGCATATTTTGTGGCATTATGCAATATGATTTGAGCAGTTTGCTTTAAGCACATTTTTGTTATCTTGTTGTAGTAGTTTGCACAGAATTGTGCTTCCCATAATTCACATTTGCATTATCTGGACAATATGAAGTTAGATTTTTTATATCTAACTTGTGTGTATCAAGTGAAGACTTGATCAAATTATGGGTAGCATTAGCTGTTTCATCAGCTTGTTCAATGAAGTCCAGGAGCCTATTTTTAACACCACTAAGAGGGTCAAAATACCTCACAACCAGCGGGAATATCTTTCTGTTTTTGTGGTTGGAGGCATCAGTTGCAATAGAGAAAAAGTTGCTTGATTTTGCTGGATCCTTCAACACATCGATGAAGTCTTGCACACTTCTTGGCGCTAGCCATTTTTCACAATAGCCTCTGCTTTTGTTCGACCACAGGACATCTTCTTAGCCAAGATAGAGTCATGGAAAATATCCTTCAATAACTTATTTGCGCAATCCATATTTCTGTAGCCGATGTTGTGTTTTACAGTATGGAAAACCAATGCTAGCTCACCTGCAACGTTTTGGAAGTCTTTGCTGCTGTTCCCGAAAAAGAGGTGTAAATTTGAAGAGGTCTTCATGTTCCTTTCCTTTCGTTTATGCCCTTCTGTGCAAGAATGTTGTCTGCAGTCAGTATTACCCCCGTGAGCAATGCTGAACTCGCGTTTACAAAGTATACAATAAGCTCTGTAAACGTTGGAGGGCACGGACTTTAACCATAAATATTGTTCTTCCCATTTTCTCAAGTAAACACACAAGTATTTAGTTTTCTTCTTAGGTGGAGTTTTTGCATTGTTGCTTTCACTTTCACTGTCACTACT